CCGCCGACGAGCGGGCAGTGGCGCGCGCCGCTCCGTGCGCCGTCGAGCGCGTCTTCAATAAACAGTGGACTCGCAAAGAGCATACCAAAGTCCTACCACTGGCATTTAAAACTCAAACCAATGTAAAACCGAGGTGTACCGGCGTCGCCCCCGTCGACAGGTACGACGTGGCCATCGCGCGGTGGACCTCGCGCCGCGCCGAGAGCTGGTCGTACTCGGTGTGCCCGACGACGTACGTTCCAAGTGGGTCGTGGACGCCCCAGAGCGCAATCAGTCCTTCGTTGCTGTGCTTGTGCTTGGCGATCCACGCCTCGTCGTCGCAGATGCCCCGCGCGATCGTGCCGCCAATGTACGGCACGTCTGGCGCGTGATTCGCCAAAAGCATTTGGATGTCTTCCGGCGACCAGTTGCTCGAGTAGCTCACGACGAGGAAATGCGCGTGGCCGATCGACGCGCGGAGGTCGGCGAGCGCCAGGACGACAGCATCCTCGACGTCGATCTGGAGGGCCCACGCGGAGCCGACGGCCACGAGGCTCGGCCCTTCGAACGTCGTCGTAGTGGGATGCTGCTCTGGGATCGTCAAAGCAAAGTTCTTCATCGCAACATTGGACTCGAAGACACTGGCATCGAGACTCGGCCCGAACGACGACGCATTGACAAACGACTGGCCGCTCTGCGAGTCGTCGAGCGTCAAGAGACCATCGATGGCAGACTCGGACATGGTCGCATACGACATGGGGGACGCAATCGAAGAGAGCTGCAGTGACGACGACGCGTCATCGTCCTTCCGCTGATCGATCGCGTCGCTGGCAATCGTTGACGCAGCGTCGAGGCGGTTGTCGTCGGCGGCCATGAACCGCATCCACGCAATGAGTTCGGCTTCGGCCTCGTCGTCGGCCTCGTCGTCGTCGCAGAGGCTGTCGAGCGTGGCACTCGGGCACATGTGGCGGCTGTGGCACCCTGCGCAGAGCCGGTGGTGGCAGTACCGGCACTGCACGCGGCGCTTGAAGAGGTGGAAGGTCTTGGCGCACTCAAAGCACTGATTCGCGCGCACGACGGGCGATGAGACCGGGTTGGCTTGGAGTCCGTGGCCCTCGAGGGCGTTGCGGATGCCCCTGGCGAGTCGATATGCCATGTCGACGGCCGATGGGCGAGCAAAGGGGAGGCCTGTCGTCGCCGACGGCACCATTTGAAAGGCCAGTGAACACAAGAGCGACTGGTCGTCGGCGCGCTCGAGCTTGACGATGAGCGCGTCAATGTGGGCGCGGTCGCAGCCAACGTCGCGGCCAATCTCGGCCATGTCGGCCAAGGACTCCTGGAAGAGGTAGCAGGCTACGAAGCGGCCGTGGGCGTCCGACTCGACGCCGATCCACTCGATAACGTAGTAGTCGTGGCCGCGAAGGCGGATGCCGTCGCAAACCACTTGGTCGTCGCGCGCTTCTCAAACGGCAATTCGGTCTCGTCGTAGAGGTGCTCGACGATCGCAGCGTCGAGGTACGTGTCGGGAAAGACCGCACGCGCCCACGCCTGGAAGGCTACCGTCGACTCGGCGGCCTGGAAGAGCATCTTGATCGCCTGCGGGAGGCGCGCATGGATCTTGGTGACGGCGCGCGCGGCCTTCCACTCGGCCGTCGTCTTGGCGAGGCAAACGTTCTGCTTGGCGCTCACAGCCTGCCAGAGAGAGCCTTTGGCGAGCAGCTGCAAGCTCGCGCGCGCGCGCGTCTCGGCGTACGTCCGCTTCTCGAGCTGGCGCTGGCGCCGGCGGTGCGTCATCCGACCACGTCCAAAGTGCAAACTGGAGCGGGTTGATACACGCGATGTAACAAGCCAATCACACGCGGCCGACCAAGATACACCAGCGGCTCGCCAGCAGCGCATGGGTGGATTATCGCCCGCCGATCCCACGCTGGACTAGCGGCCTCAAAGGGCGCAGGCGCCCATGGCGGCAAAGCGGCGCCGCAGCGGTCCTCGGCACCTCGCCGTCGCTGCGCGAAGGAAGAGACATGCCATCGCATTTGGATGATAGAACGTGCGCCCCATTTCTTGAAGTTCAAAAGCAACAACCCGCAGCGCCCTCTTCTACTAGCATACTACTAGTACCCGTAGGCAGCGAGCAGCAGCGCGGGTACCATGATGCACATGACGAGGCAACGATCATGAACGGTCGCCGATGATGGCGCGGACCTGGCTGGACGCGCGATCCAGGATCGTTCTGCGTATCCGGATCCGGATGCGCTGCCAGGTTGCAGCCGTCGGCCACAACGAGAGATGGCGACCACGCATCCGACCGCAGTGGCCATCGGCGCCGCCCACCAAGTGTCGAGCGAGTCGAAGGACCGCGCCGAGGGCTTCAAGAACCAAGGCAACGAGGCGCTCAAGGAGCACAAGCTGTCGCTGGCGGTCGAGCTCTACACGACGGCCATTGGCATCACGCCGACCGCCATCTACTACTCGAACCGCGCGGCCGCGCACATCAAGATGGAGAGCTACGGCCTCGCGCTCGCCGACGCCTCCGAGGCCATCAAGATCGACCCGACGTACATCAAAGGTGCGCTCGAATGGCGTCGAGGACGCAGGTTCATGACGATTCCATGCATGTCGTAGCGTACTACCGCCGGGCGTCGGCCAACTTGCCGCTGGGTCATCTCAAGGATGCGCTGCGTGACTACCGGACAGTCGTCAAGATGAAGCCGTCGAGTGCGGAAGCCAAGAGCAAGCAGAAGCTCTGCGAGCAGCTCATTCGCCAGGCGGCGTTCGCCGAGGCCATTCAATCCGAGCGCAACCGCCCGCTCTCGGACACGATTGACGTCAACGCCATGGGTACACCGTCCATCTCGTTCATTGCTCATATGTCACCTGCTAGTCGTCGATGCGAGCTATGACGGGCCGCACTTGCCGGCGACGCCGGACGCGGACTTTATGGTCAAGGTGCTCGACCACTTCAAGCGCGGGAAGCTGCTCCACCGCAAGTACGTCATCCAGGTCCTCTTGTCGATCAAGGAGCTCTTCATGTCGCTGCCATCTCTGTTGCGGATCCCGCTCGGATCGCACGACCAGGCGCGCATCACGGTCTGCGGCGACACGCACGGTAGACGCGCTGCCTCTACATCGTCGCATCTTATCTTTCTTAGGCCAATTCTACGACGTGTGCAACATCTTCGAGATGAACGGGCTCCCGAGCGAGACGAACCCGTACCTCTTCAACGGCGACTTTGTCGACCGCGGCTCGTTCAGCCTCGAAGTCGTGCTCACGCTCTTCATCATGAAGCTCGCGTTCCCTGCGCACGTCCACCTCCTCCGCGGCAACCACGAGTCGAAGAACATGAACAAGATTTACGGCTTTGAGGGCGAAGTCAAGCACAAGTACGACGACGTCGTGATGAACCTCTTCTCGGAGGTCTTCAACTGGCTGCCGCTCGCGGCCTGCATCGAGTCGAAGGTCCTTGTCGTCCACGGCGGCCTCTTCCACCAAGACGGCGTCTCGCTCGCCGACATCGAGAAAATCGACCGCAACCGCGAGCCGCCCGAGTCGGGGCTCATGTCGGACCTCATGTGGTCGGACCCGCAGCCGTTCCCAGGCCGCGGGCCGTCCAAGCGTGGCATTGGCCTCAGCTTTGGCCCGGACGTGACCAAGGCGTTCCTGGCCCACAACGGGCTCGGTACGTGGAGAAGAGACGATATTATTGAGGTTGTTCAACGTGTCGATAGAGCTGCTCGTGCGGTCGCACGAGGTCAAGGACGAGGGCTACCTCGTCGAGCACGATGAAAAGTGCATTACGGTCTTTAGCGCGCCCAACTATTGCGACCAAATGGGCAACAAGGGCGCGTTCATTCACTTTTACAAGGACCTGAAGCCCCGCTTTACGCAGTTTACGGCCGTCGTACGTCCCAAGTCTGTCGATCGACATGTCTCATAGTTCTCGATAGGAACACCCGCCGATCCGCCCGATGGCGTACGCAGGCAACATGGGCGGCCTCTTTGGCTTGTAAGACACGCCCTCGACGCGCCAAACGGTGCATTTTCTTGGACTTGGTCTTATTAGTAGTATATGATGATGGTCTATGGTACAAGAAGACGGCGGTGGTGGGTCCTTAAACGTCGGCTATCGTCCGTGGCGACGGCAGGGTCGCACTGCTGCTCGTGGTTTGGCTGCTCCACACACTCCCGTCGAGGCCGTAAATCGTGTGGTAGTCGGCGGTGAGGTCAAAGGCCTGGAGACCGTCCATCGAACACACAAAGTCGCACGGGCTAAAGCGGCCCAGCACAGGCACTTGGGTCGAGTGCAAGCTCAGTGTCGGAAACAAGTCGATCTCGGCCGGCACGCGGAGCTCGCACATGCCCGAGACGGCGATCGAGCGCGGCGTGAGCTTGCCGAATTGGACCTACCATGTCCATCTTACATTTGGGGTATGAAACGAAGCGTGGTACCTGCACGATATGCGTGGCTGGCGTGTCGGGGTACCGGTACACGAGGACACCGATCGTCGACGAGCCGGTCGCGACGAGCGACTCGATCGGTGTGACTTGGAGCGACGGTGCGAGGATCGTGCCGGACGAGAAGAGCCCAATCTAGCGTCTTCATGTGAGCGGAGGCTGCCAGTCTTCCAGTGGTATACCGAGTGTTTCTGGGTCCCCACAAGCGCGTTGAGAGGCAGCGTCGCTGGCGACGAGAGGCCAATGCACGAAGTGATGAGTGACGGCGCTTGGACAATACTCATTTCAAAGTACAACGCCTTCTCGGTCGGGATCGGAACGTTGGCGCGGACGGTCCGGTACAATCCCTGGTGGATCTATCCAAGTAGGCCATCTTGGATACGCTGTTGATATGGATTCTTGGATAGTATGTACCTTGGTGGCGCAGTGGCCGCCGCAAGAGAGCTGGATCTCGGGCGCGCAGTCTTGGTTGTTAAAGTAGGGCACGACGATGTCATCGCGCTGCTTGCCTTGCAGCATGGCTAGTGGTCTGTGAGATGCGGAAAAGTACATGGTGATACTACCTGCGCGCTCTTGTCGGAGCTGATCCCGCGCATGGTAGAGGAGGTCGGTCGAGAAGGACGAGAGCGATGCCGTCATCTGCGCGCGCGCCCGGGGCGAGGCCGGGATCGACTGCGGCGTGAGACCCGTGTTGTAGATGGCGTGTGAGTTCGCGAGCAGCTACACGCAGTCGCGTCAGTTGCTGCTGCGTGGCAGCCTCGGCAGCACCTCGTGGCGCGGGATCGGCGGCAGCTGCACGGTGGCTTCAAAGGGCCGCGCCGACATCTGCGGCAAGGACAAGGCGTGAGAACACGTACTACATGGATGCGCGTGTACGGTGAAGTGCATCATGCGGCGCATGCGCTTGCTCATGAGGTTGCCATCCTTCTCGCGGTACTCGAGCACGATGGCCAAAACTACATTGCAGATATCAGGAGAAGACGATCCAACGCATGCATCGCACAGGTGTCTTGGTACGGCGTCATGGGCGGCTCGTCGGTCGCGGATGGAAAGGACATGGCCGATGTCGGCGAGTCGGGCGGCGACGACGACATGCAGCAGTCGTAGATCTTGCCGAGCTGCGCGCACGCGGTGGGCACATACGGGATCGCCTGCGCGCACGAGTAGATGTGGTCGTACGCCACGTGCACAAAGTCCGAGATCCTCTTGATCGCTATCCACGCCATGAGCCATGGCATTCGTGCGAGACCGCGTACTGTCGATGAGCCATGCGATAAAGCCGCCGGCGTCCGAGGCCCAAATGTCGCACGAGTTGACCTTCGCCGTCCAGGCCTCCGAGATGGACGGCAGCGACGTGCTCGCAATGTCAAAGTGCAGTAGCTGGTGCAGATGGCGCTTGGCGTCCTGGACGACGTCGCTCGAGACGCCGAAGCGCTCCTGGATGTGGTCGATCGAGTGCAGGATCGCCAAGCAGACCATGAGCATCTACATCGCAGGGTCAGCGCCGCCATGGCCGACGGAGCCTACATGGTTCTTCGTGTTCTCGGCCGTCTGCAGCCATGAGGCGCTGTAGTACTTGGTACTATGCATCCTTCTTGCTGAGAATTGGGATCTGCGCGACCCAGGTTGACGCCCGGAAACCCAACTATTAATTCTCACGGGTATTACCCGCAGCCAAACACACGTGGAAACTATATTCTAGAGGTTTTCCGAAGATCGCGGGGCGCCGCGCGGTACCCTTCGTCCCTTGACCGTTGTGCGCCTGTCGTCGATCCTCTCTACCTACTACGCCAGCGTACTGCCTTGGCCTCACTATGCATCGCGCTTCGGAAGGCGCGCTCGAGTTGAACAATATGCGGCACGGAAAAAAGCGTTTGATATTGGTAGCTTGAGCGCGCCCTCGGCGATGGCCGCCGCATACAAACATCAAGTGGAGCAATATATGCATGCCGAGTGCAACAGATATGGTTGCCATGGGACACGCCTACTGCTTCAATGGACCCACTCTGGAAGGGACGCGCCCGTATTTCTAGCACAAGCTCGATGCGTTGACGAGACGACGTTGGCGGCCGTCCCTCTAGCACCGTCGTCGTGAGTCACACGTTGACACGACAATAATATTGGCACCTCGACGAACGCGGTACGCAGCGGGTACAGTCAACCAGCCAACCGCCGCCGCTTCAATCCCGGCACACTCGCGGCCTTTTTGTGATGGATGTCGTCTCCGCTGGTCCTGACGAAATGCGCGTGTTTCGTCAGCCATCCCAAGTAAAAGTATCCGATCAGTGGGACAGCACTCTCCCCGTTTTCGCTTGGTGATTGCAACACTCTGTGGTGGCTACTCGGCGTCGACCGACAATAATGAAAGCGGGTTCGTTGCGTCGTGCTCGCTCGTTGCTATCGTTGTTGAACTGCGTTATTACATGCAATATGGTGGACTTCGTAATGCGCTCGTATATCGCTCGTTGCTGTCGAATCGATCGATCACCCAATGTGGATGGCACCCAAGCTCGGCCTACGTTGACGTGCCTCTGTGAGCGCAGCATGTCCTGCATCATCGGTGGCGGTCTATGACCAAGGAAGGGTTCATGGACCCTGGGGACTACGGGCGGCAGATTTATCAATCGCCATCGACGTCCTTCAACAAGATCAACAACGAGAGGAGCCTTTATCGGCGCACAAGAGAGAGGTCAAGGATTCGGATGACGGCACTGCGATGACAACGATGATTCCTCCAGCGTGATGCGAGCGCTGGGATTCGAACCGTGCCTCGTCCCTCCCGTTGACGAAACGTAGTCAAGACGGCGTCAGTGTCCATGGCATGGCCTGTGGGACGGCGGCCCGCGACCTGCGGAAGTCGTGTCGGCCGTTGTTGGGTCGTTGGGACGTTGACGCAACAACCGACATCCGTTTGCATCACGTAGTGGTCCTTCAAATGCGATAACGCTACGAGGGCGAGATTGGCCTGTAAGCGCGGCTTCAACAAGGCCGTCGAGTGGCATGGCGGGGAAGGTTCCGAGATTGTGTGACGTCACCGCCGACTCCTTGTCGACAATGCAGTCGACTTGGAAGGTGTTTCTTGGAGTCGGAAATACCAGCGCGCCGTGCATCGGACGCTTTCTTCACCAAGAGGTCGCGCATGCGAGGACGAGAAGTATGCGCTGGATGATCCCGTCGGCAATGCGCTTTTTATGGCACGCTGCTAATCACACGTCGCTCTCAACCAATACCTCTCAGAGAAGGAGAAGGATCATGCCCATGACCCTTATGAGTACCTCGACACTTGCTCGAGAATCTATCCCGAAATTTAGTGGGATTTGTTATCTACTCTTGCCAAGGGCCGTTGATCTTGCCAAAAAGCCATTTTACGACAAAAGACGCATACGCAGATTTTTTCCATTAGCGTAGTTTGTCCAAGGTACCACCAAAAACACGACTGCAACCGTCGGACGGCCTCGGACAAAACCCGCATATTCTTGTACCCATCCGTGGAAAATCTTTGTACAAAATACGCATATTTGCAGGCGCATTTCGCCATGGACGCGGCAGCAGTCCGACGACACTGCCACTGGCGACACCCAATCAGCTCTTGGACTTGAAGACTAACCTCGCATTGAATTATGACGCGCGACTGGTTCGTGCATGTACTAGTCCCGCTTAACACCACTCGGTAGTGCAGTGGCATCGAACCACCCTGTCTTACCGAATTCTCGTGGATGATGCAGGAAAATATGCGGCTTTTGTCCAGAAAAGCTCTGCCGTCGCGTCCACTCAATCAGCAGAGGCGGTGCCAGCCTCGGTACCTTGCTCTGCTGGTATGAGGCATCGTCTGTACCTGCTCGCCTCCTCTACCAGCGCTTGGAACGAGCTTGGGCTCAAATAGGCTCCTCGTATGATCCTTGTGACGGGATAAATCACACCGCGCGCCGATACCAGGTCTACCGTCGCACACCAAGTTGTGTGATTTCAGCCGTGCAATTCCGGTGTGGTAGATATTTCACCGCTCCTAAGCTAAGGGCGCGAAAACGGGCGTGGGAAATCGTTCGAATCGAATGTATTTCACTTGGTGCTTGTATGCGGTACCTCGCCCCTAAAGGCCAATCATTTTGACCAATCAGAAACGCGGATTGCCCACCCTGTGCAATTTAGCTCACTCTGACCCTCGGCCGAAATGAAGCTGCTCGTGGCCTGCCCGGACCAGGAGGTCTTCCTGGTCGCCGTCGATGGCGAGAACTCCATCAAGACGCTCGCTAAAGACATCCGCACCAAGTTCTCTAGCATCTACCACGACCGCGACGAGCTCTCGGCGGACCTCTTCCTCCAGAAGGCCATCCCGGGCATCACGGTGGGCCAGCGCACGGATGCGCCCATGGCCGACGTCGACCCGGCCATGTCGGTCGCCGACGCCTTCAACGAGATGGAAGTCGTGTACGTGCAGACGGGCCGCATCCGCAAGCGCGCAGCGCCCGACGCCGAGGCCAACCAGCCCCCGGCCAAGAAGGCCAAGAAGACGGTGACGCCCGCCCACACCACCGAAAAGCCCAAGGCAACCAAGGCCGTCGCGCCCAAGCCCGTTGCGCCCAAGGCCGTCGCGCCCAAGCCCGTTGCGCCCAAGCCCGTTGCGCCCAAGCCCGTTGCGCCCAAGACTGCGAAGGCTGCTCCGGCACCGGAGACCACTGCCGAAAAGACCCCGAAGAAGGCCAAGAAGATCGCAACGGACGCCCCGCTGGAGGTGGCCAAGGCAACGGCGCCCAAGGTGGTCGCCCCGAAGCAGGCTGCTCCTAAGGAAACTGCTCCTAAAGAAAAGGTGATCAAGGACAAGGTGGTCAAGGAGAAGGTGGTCAAGGAGAAGGTGATCAAGGAGAAGGTCGTCAAGGAGAAGGTCGTCAAAGCAAAGGTCGTTAAGGCGACTGCACCTGTTGAGGCAGCCGTCCCCACGCCGGTTGTGACCTCGCAGGAGGCAATCGTGCTTCCCTCGGTGCCCATCTACTCGAGCTCGGAAGACGAAGATGACAAGCCGATCAAGAAGAAGGCGCCCGTTGTTGCCGCCGCTGCGGTTGCTGCCACAGCGCCCGTTGTTCAGGAAAAGAAGATCACGACGTCGCCGGCTGCCGAGGCCGCGTCAACCGAAGTGTCGCCGGCCCCCAAGAAGCGCATCGTCAAGGCCAAGGTCGCTGCCACTGCTGCCCCTGCTGTCAATGGCGAGTCTGCCGCTACTGCGGTCGTCTCCCCTGCCCCCAAGAAGCGCGTCACCAAGCCCAAGGCTGCTGCTGTCGAAGCTGTGGTCGCCGTGGAAGGTGCTACGGTTGTCGCCACGGAGGTTTCGCCCGCTCCGAAGAAGCGCGTCACCAAGCCCAAGGCTGCTGCTGTCGAAGCTGCGGTCGCTGTGTTTTGGTGAGGCTGTGGCTGCTGTCACCACCGAGGTTTCGCCCGCTCCGAAGAAGCGCGTCACCAAGCCCAAGGTTGCTGCCGTTTAAGCTGCGGTCGCCGTGGAAGGTGCTACGGTTGTCGCCACGGAGGTTTCGCCCGCTCCGAAGAAGCGCGTCACCAAGCCCAAGGCTGCTGCTGTCGAAGCTGCGGTCGCTGTGGAAGGTGAGGCTGTGGCTGCTGTCACCACCGAGGTTTCGCCCGCTCCGAGAGCGCGTCACCAAGCCCAAGCTGCTGCCGTCGAAGCTGCGGTCGCCGTGAAGTGCTACGGTTGTCGCCACGGAGTTTCGCCCGCTCCGAGAGCGCGTCACCAAGCCAAGCTGCTGCTGTCGAGCTGCGGTCGCTGTGA